AACCTCCAGAGTACTGAGCCAGGCCCTGGCCACACAGGTGAGCATGACAGAAACCTCCAGAGTACTGAGCCAGGCCCTGGCCACACAGGTGAGCATGACAATGACTGATGGTCTATAACTTATACTCACGTGCTGTCCTGAATGACCTCTATACCTACATCTGGGGAATAGAAAAGGGACTGTGTATCAGGTCCCTGAGATCTTAAGGTACTGACATTTTGCCAAATTCAGCACAAACCTTAAGATGTTTGTCTAGATTACATTGTCTTCTTTTCCTTGGATAAGACAAGTCTTTCTGTGCCCCCAGAGATACTCTGGGTCCACAACGCCTTCCCACCTTGCTCATTGAACATGGGCACGTGATCTAGGCTTTTCAGGGATTCCAAGAAGTGTTTATCTTTTCTCAATAGCCAAGATATGGACAGTTGAAGGGAGGAGGTTATAACTGCTGGGCCACTATAGCATTTCTGAAATTGGAAAGATGTTTGTACTGAAAGTGCAGTGATTCTGTGAAAGCCCCAAACAGTTGTCAGGGATTAGCTGCTTGATTCCCTAAAGCAAGAAGCAAAGAACACAAAGGCACAACAAGCTGTGCACCGCAGACGCAACTTCGTACACGAGCCCGAAGCTGGGAGTTGACGCTTCCAGACAGTTGTTCAGAGGGGGCATTCAACTCTGCCAGGCAGCTTCATGCCACACTCCCGACTTGCTTCTATACGTGAGTCCGGAATTGTATGGAGGAAGAAAAAAATTTTTGTTCAATCTTATCCACATGTCTTCCTGACTCTTCTCTTTTTGAGTGATGGGAATAATAATTATACGAACCTCAAAAGATGGCAAAATCAGAGGCAGGGTACATTTATACATGAAGCATATCACTTTATTATACAAAGATTCTTCAGAGATTATATGATTTGGAAACATAATATGTGAGTGCATTGTAATAAGGAAAGCCGGTCCTGTAAATACTAACTAAAGTGTCAAAATAAATGTCTCTGTGGTGATCAAATATTACACATTAGTCTTAAGAAAAAAACAAAAATCAGCAAACAGCGCTCTTTGCAGCCCCCCAGTGGTTGAACGAGAAAAGAGGCGAGAATGGGAATCAGACAGCAACTTGCACTTTGCAGGGCCAATAAACTTTTTACAATGCAGAGACAAATGGCTGCTTTTAACCACAAAATGGATATGTTCTTAGTAGGGTGTTGGTTTAAATGCACATAATTATTTACATAAAGCGAATCACTGAAAGCCTAGATTTTTTTCTCTTTTTGAACTCTCTCTCCTTCTCTTTCTCTCTCTTACCTCTGTGAAGCTTTCCATTCTGACCTAAGATATCAGCAAGGCATTAAGTGCGCCAGATCCTCCAAGTCATTTCTTCCCCTTTCTTCCCTTGCTGTGTGCTCCCCCCACCCCATTTGTAGACATCTGCTTATAAATATACCATCTGTTTTGCTACAAAGTGACGAAAACTTTTAAAAATGTAATTTGCCCACACAATATAGAAAGTGTCTACAGTGGGGAAGGAAGACAAAAATTTTAGAATTTCATTTCTTGTTTTCATCAAAACAATGGTCTCTCAGATTGACCTCTTCCTAACAGCAACACCTTGTCACACTACAGTTTGAGACGTTTTCATAATGAGTTTGTCTTTGTCTTTCTAAAAAAAGAAACTATCAAAGATACACCATGAAAAAAACATTTACTGAAAAGAAATAGGATGTGTGCTTATACAATCTTTCCAAAACTATGCCATGAAAAAAGAAATAAAGATTATAGATAAACAGAAGCCCCCCGTTCTTCTCAAATGGAACACTCCTAAGTTACCGAAAAGGCAGTTCCCAAGGCTCTAACAAGCCCAACAGCCTGTCTCCCGCTCTCCTCACACTCTGCACTAATTCCACCAGACAGGCATTCCCTTCCCTGAGCTAGTGGTAAGCTAGAGTTCAAATTCAGCCTCCAAAGCATGTTGTCTCTAATAAGGAGCCCCTTTTCCGATGGGCTGCAAACCCCTCTGCCCCCTGATGATCCGGACCAGGTACGCCCTCATCATCACCGGGCAGATTCAGCGACAGTCCTCAAGCCAAAGGCAAGTCCTCCTGGTCAGCGTCGCAGAGAATCAACAAGTTATCACCAAGCTGGGCGCACCAGCCAGGATCTGCCACAGCGCCTCCCAACACCCATCCCCTCCCTCCCTCACCAGCTAGTTGCACTGCCTCCCCAACCCCTTCGTCAGCGCAAGACCTTCTGTTTTAGATCAGGCCGCCACCCCCACCCCAGCGCTCTCCCGGAGCTCCCAGGCAGCTGTCAAAGTCTGGGGCTCGCCAGCTTCTGTGCTCGCCTGACAGCCAGGCGTTCACTGGGATCTAGCTTCCTTCCGGGCGGGAGGACTGGGGAGGTCAAGATCTTCAAACGAACTGGGCGGGTGAGGGAGCAGCGCCAGATTCCCCGGCGTCCGCATCTCTGTCCTCAGGGACCAGAGCGGAGTAGGAGAGGCAGCCGGGAGCATCAATCCCGCACTTCTCCCAGACTTCACAGCCCACCAGGAAGACGCGCATTCCCTGGGGGAGCCGGAGGAGTGCCAGGGAGGTTTTCCCTAGAGCCTACAGGTTTCCATTCCATCCCCAAGCTGGAAGCTTGGAGACAAGTCACAGCTAGGCTCCCTCTGAATGCGCAGCTACTGATTCTCCCCCAGGGAAGGAGCAGACACCTGCTTCTCCCCGCTATAGTGCCAGCGCCCTATTCCAGCCGTCCTTGGGCCAGAGCTTGCGACTCACCCATTTCACTCCCACCCCGGCACAGACAGCCCCCAAAGTTGTCGGCACTCCCCAGACCTCGCCTTCTCCTCTGACCCCCGGACCCCGCCCAGGGGTTGGGCCAGCGTCCGCGGGTGGAACCTTTCCGGTCCGCTGCTCAGGGCGCTGACTTCGGGGATCCCAGGCGACCAGAGGCTGGAGAAGCTGCGGCAAGGAAGGGTAGGCAAATCCAGCATGAGCCGGGGTCCTTGCCGCTTTCACCCTCAAGCCTGCCCTGTTTGCCTCCTGACAGGAGAAAACTTCCCCAGCACCCACCTTTAGCGGCGAGGAGGCGGCGCCGCCGGCTGTCGCCACCATCGCCGCTGCCGCTCCCCACGCCCAGCGACAGCAGGAGCGGCACCCAGCATAGCCTCCCGGGCAGCATCCTTGCAGCCGCCGCCAAGGAGCTGCAACCGCCGCCTACCGACCGCACCGGCTCTTGCCTCCTGGTGCCCGCCGCACCACGAGTCTGCTCGCTGTGCCCGCTGGGTGCGCTTCTAGCGCCGCCGCCGCCGCCGCCGCGCTCGGCCTCCGGTTCCCCCCGCCACGCAGCTCGCTCGCCGGCAGCAGCCGCGCTCACTGGCGCGGACCCGGAGCGGCTCCAGCGCTCACCCCGGGACGGCCCGTGACGTCACGGAGGGAGGGAGGTGGCTCGTGCATATTCATGAACGCGGACCTCGGCGCTGGGTTCCGCGCTCCGCACCTCACAGCCTGGGCCCCCAACTTTCCTCCACTGTCCTCACGCTCCAGGGCGCTCTCCTGGCCCTCGCGTCTCAGTCAGGACTCGGTTCCCAAAGGATCCTGGTGGGCAACTCCCGGGAACCCTCCAGCCAGGCGTCCCTACTCCCGCTCTCCCAAAAGCTGCGGCACAGAATGGCAGGCTCACCTGGGGCCTGAGGGTTGTCTGCGGGGGCACAGGAGACCCTGCCTTGTCCTGCCCTTTGAACTGGCATCTGAGCAGAAGGGGCGGGAGGGCTTCTCTGTTCAGGTCCTGCCCTTGGCTCAGTCCCTGAGCGCTCTATGTCGCCTGGTCTCGGGAGGGCGCCAGGCGCACGCTGGAGTTCCAAAGCGCAAGTGCTGCTCGGAGTTGTGGAGCAGGGTAGATAGCCTTGTACCTGAATGGCAATGGTTGGGCTCCACACCATGGCGGAAAAGCGGGGGCAGCCAAGGCCCTAAGAGGCTTATGGGACAACTGGGTCAGAAAAGGCAAACTTAGGGTCCTGGATCTGCCCAGGCTGCAGTCGCGGGTGACTTAAAATTCCCAGCACTATAGTGGCATGCAAGAAGTTACCACCTTCATACTGTCACTCCGCATCTCTAAGAGCAGACACTGCCTTGTCAGATCTCCTGTCCTGAGGGAGTAAGTGTTGTCATTTCCCTGGGTGCAGGGGCTGTGCACATCTTTCCATCCTCAACCATCTCCAAGGATCACAAAGGTACTCAAAAGATATTAATTAATGGCTCAGAAAAAAAGTCTTTGACCATACTTGCGTATATGAAATACCAATGTCACACACAATTCACAGCTCATAAGGAATAGTTTGGAAATAGGGTATATAAAGAAATATAGATACGAACATAATTATTTACTTATTCATTGATTCCGGACATTCAATGAGGTCCTCGGCAAGTTGTATTACCCTGCCCAGTAAGCACTGGATTTGGTTTTGGAGGTCCAAAGATTGAGGAGAGTTGTGGCTCCTGTCCTCTGTCCGAGTCTTTGTTCCCTGTCAGAGAAGCCGAGAGGGAGGTAAAGGCAATTACAATCCCTTGGAAGTGTTATAGTCCTGCACATTCTTTATGTTGCTAGATCTGAGCCTTTGCAAATCAATTAACAAAATGTATATATTGCAACAGTGACTAAACAGTATCCTATAATTAATAACTGTAGTTTGAGGTACTCAACAAAGCCATAAAATTCATTACCAGCTTCTCAGGCTGCTCAGCCTCCCTGCACTGCCCCAGCAGCTAACTCAGAGCTACTGCAGGTGTGAAACCCAACTCTTCAGCATTTCAGGCACCAAGAGGTGCTTGGGAACAGCAGTGAATCATGGTGGCTGCACAGGGCTCAGACCAGGCAGAGATCTTCTCCTGGAGATCCTTAACCCACAAATCAACATCTTGCTATTATTCTCATCCCCTCATTCCACACATAAGGAAATGGAGGAAGTTAGGTAACTTCTTTGTCCAAGGTCATAAAGCTAGTAAGCACCTCAGGCCAATACCAAGACCTTGCTTTTCTCAGATTTTGCTGTCAGAATCCAGAAAGAATTGCATGATCCAGACAAATCTGGGAAGCCAGAAAATAGAAGAGAAAGGTAAATTTTCTTCCATTTGTGTTCCATCTAATTGCTAATACATAGTGCCCCTTTCATTTTCTCTAAGCAGACCTATCTTACTGATTTACCTGCACTGTCCTTGTTGTCGTTATACTAGGTTTTATTAAAATCAAATAGTTAGTTCTAAAGTTCTAACATACAATTTCAAATGAATTTCAAATTCAGACCAAACAATGAGAGACAAGGGAAATACAGCCGATTAGAAAGCATCTCCAAGGGGCAGGTAGATTGCCAGTAAAGAAAACAGCACAGAGATGTACCAGGAACAGACTAGTGACCAAGAGGCATAACATCACTAGCTTCCATCTCCTCCTTTACAAATGGGGCAATAACAGTGCCTATTGTGGTAGAATACATGCACTAAGGGTCCCCATTTGTTTGTTCATGCCTTTCTGAATTTGTTCCCTCTGGATGTGCCCTCCCACCCTAACTTAGAGGTTGGCCATTTGATTCACTTTGGTTGGTAGGACAATGGCATGCAAGTTTCCTCTTTCTCTCCTGGACCCCTGCCACCAACATGAGAGAAAGCCCAGGTTAACCTGTACGTGGATGAGAGACCACATGGAATACACATGAGCTGCCCCAGCCAGCCAAGACTACCCTAGGCTGGCCACCACCAACTGACCCACAAGCTGACCACAGACTCATGAAGAACCCCAGCTAAGATCACCAATCCTGGATCACATCAGGACCACCCACCTGACTTACAAGAAATAATAAATCACTGTTGCACCTAGTCACTATGTTTTGGTGTAATAGATTAAGCAGTATAATGCCTACTTCATAAGATCATTACAAGAGGGACACTCTCAGTATAACTTATATTGTCAACGTTCAGTGAATGTAAAGATGTCTTCCTCTTGTCTTTATTTCCCCGATTTCTGAAATGCCAGTTACAACCTTGATTTGGTTCATTTTGGGAAAAGACAACAATAACCTGGTTTTGGGCGGAGCCTGTAGCTCAGTGAGTAGGATACTGGCCCCATATACCAAGGGTGGTGGGTTCAAACCCAGCTCGGCCAAACTGCAACAACAACAACAACAAAAAAAAAATAGCCAGGCGTTGTGGTGGGCACCTGTAGTCCCAGCTACTCAGGAGGCTAAGGCAAGAGAATCACCTAAGCCCAAGAGCTGGAGGTTGCTGTGAACTGTGACCCCACGGCACTCTACTGAGGGTTACAAAGTAAGACTCTGCCTCTAAAAAAAATAAAAAATAACCTGGTTCTGAGAGAATGAGGTAAGTTTAGCCTCAGAAGTACTCTGACCACAGGAGCTTCATTTCCATGCCACATGTACAGAGCACTGCTGTGCTCTCTGCCTTTGCTGAGCCACTGCAGATGTAGACAGTGAATAACAGTTAATGAGTCCCCACTTACTCAGTGCCAGGCTTTGCAATAGGGTGTGCACTCCATACCTGCTTTAATCTCTGCAACAACAGATGTACTATGGTTTGAATATTTGTCCCTTCTAAAATTCAGTGTTAAAATTTGATCCCCAATATGGCAACACTGAGAGGTGGGACCTTTAGGAAGTGAATGGGTCAGGGGGTCTTTGCCTTCATGAGTGGATTAATCAATGCATGGATTCTTGGGTTAATAGATTGGTGGGTTGTCAGAGGAGTAGGACTAGTGGGTTTTTAATATAAAAAAGAGAGACCTGAGCTAGCACACTCAGCCCCTCATGATGTGATGCCTTGAGATTCTACAGAGCGTCCCTGCCAGCAAGAAAGCCCTCACCAGATGTAGCCCCTCAACCTTGGACTTCTCAACCTCAATAATTATAAGAAATAGATTCTTCTTTTTTTTTTATAAATGACCTATTCCAAGTATTCTGTTATTAGCAACAGAAAATGAACTAAGATAAAGTGCTATTTTCCCTATTTTAATATAAGCAGATTACTGGCTCAAAAACTTTAAGTAACTTACCCCTATTTCCATAATTGTTCAGAATATCAATTTATGCCAGCCTAATTCCAAATTCCATCTTTCCACCACAGATTGTGATTTGGAGAGAGGTATGCAGGATAAGTAAGCAACAAAAACATAGTTTCAAGTCAGAAAAGGTAGATTTGGAGATTTGATTGTTTTAAATCCTTATCCATCATGTCCTCTGAATAATGACCATTTAAATAACCAATAGTTACCAAAGACACAAATCTCTGAATTTGTTGAGACTGTACCCCTTCTTCTTTGTGTGTGTTTTTATTTCAGATTGACAGAAAGGTACAAACAATTAGGTTACATTGTTTGCATTTATTAGGTAGTGACCAAGTTGTAGTTGTGCCCTTCACCCAGGAAGTGTGCCATATACCCTTACATTGTGCCCCTTAGATAGTAGCACACCAATCCCCCTCCTCCCTCCCTTCTCCCCCATGTAGATGTAGTTGCATTTTTCTCTCCTGTGCTGTGTAATTGTTCATCTACTGGCTTCATATTAGTACTGAGTGCATTGGAAACTTGCTTTTCCATTCCTGTGATACTTAGAAGGGTATTCCCAAATATATCCAGGTAAAAATACAAAAAAATATAAAGTCTCCATCTTTTCATGGCTGAATAGTATTCCATGGTCTACATATACCATAGTTCGTTGATCCATTCCTGGATTGATGGGCTCTTGGGTTGATTCCATATCTTGGCAATTATGAATTGAGCTGCAAAAAACAATCTAGTGCAAATGTTCTTATAGCAAAATTAACTTTTTTTCTTCTGGGTAGATACCTCATAATGGGATTGTGGGGTCAAATGGAAGGCCTACTTTTAGTACTTTGAGGACTCTCTATACTGCTTTCCAAAGAGGCTGCACTAGTTTGCAAGCCCACCAACAGTGTAAAAGTGTTCCCTTCTCTCCACAACTGCCCCAACATCTGCAGCTTAGAGACTTTGGTGATGTGGGCTATTCTCTCTGTGTACTCCTTATTCTTGACTCAGTATGTGGCACGTTCCTTTAAACATATAGCTGAAAACATGGTGAATAGAATGATGGATGGCCTTTGTCACATTAAGACCAGGTCCAGGGCCCCACTTGGCAATGTAGTAATGAACCTCAGGCAATTTATCTGGGTCTATAGTTTTTAATAAGTAAATAACTCCTTCATTGCAGAAAATAGAATCTCACAGAAACAGGCCTCAGTTAAACATAGCCATCCCCTTTCATTTTCACTGGGTCACTAACGCCTTGCCCAGTTAAGTACCAAAATCCAATCCCTGAATAACTTAAGAGCGATAAATGAAGAAAAT